CACAACCGCAATACCAACAGCAGAAAAGAGGAAGCCCTTAAGCGTGAGACAGTCCAAAGCAAAGAGGCAGAAACCAAAACCGCCAATGCAGGAGAAGAGAGAATTTCAGGAAGACCCATCCACAACCACCAAACCACCCAAAGCAAGAAGAGTAAGAGGAAAGCAACCCCAACCACAAGCATTAGGAGCAACAATCAACATCCCCAAAGACAACAAGACACCCAATGTAGATGAAGCAGAGACAGCACAGGAAGAAACCGGGGCGTCATCTTCATCAAAAGCACCAGTCAGGAAACCAACAATGAACAAAGCAATATCACCAAGCAAGGTAGGAATACAAGTGATAAGAGAGAAGTTTGAAGAGATGAACAACAGCAAAAGCATAGACACAGGAGACGATCAAAGGTTTCAAGAGGTATATGGTAAATGGAAATCAAGCAAGGGAGAGGATAAGAAACAGTACCTAAAGGAAGCGAAGGAACTTTACAAGTCAATCATCTATCCAAAATTAAAATCAAAATAATTAATAAAATTATTCATTATAATTGTATTAATTATCCACTACCGTTTTTAGTCATAGAAAATGACAGATTGGGCTTTTATCTCCAAGATACATTCGTGTTCAATAACGATATACATTTTGTGAAGTTTGTTATGATTTTTCCATCCATCTCGTCCTTGAATTTGCCAAGAACCTTTTTATTAGTGGCATCATAGCAAAGATGGTTTTTATCATAACCGCTGAAGTCCATATAGTCCTTTATTTCTTTCCAATCTTCAAATAGGTCTTGAGTGAAAGTCTGTAAAACATAACTGTCAGTGTCAGTATAGATTAGTCTTATGTCATCCTTATACCTTGCCTTCAAAACATCATAATAGAAACTATACATATGAACCTTACTTAAATCTAAAACAGTCATTCCTAAAAAGATAGGTTTATTCAACTTCAACACCGTTTTCGTTTTCTCCACTCCTGCCAGTTCTTCATTTATAATATGACTTCCTTTGTAATTAGGATTGTTTATACATTTTTGTATCCTTTCCTGTGTTGCTACTAATTCAAAATCAATGTGGTTTCTTACATTCTCCATCGTTTTTCCATAAACTGCGTTGTTCATTAACTTAAACATATCTTTCTCAAAATCACTCTTTCCCTCTTTTCTCTTTCCAGTGTTAAAGTCAATCCAAGGTTTCAACCATTGCCTCTGTTGAAACTTCACTCCTCTATGGACTGTTTTTAGTTTCATCCCTTTCTTCAAATAAAACTGTAATGCCTTGATATGGACGACATAGTTGATTTTATCCATTTGGTTCAATACAAGTTTCGGTTGTTTCTCATCCTTTGCTTCTTTACCGTTGTAGTAGTGTCGGTGTAGTTCCCTTTGATGTTTTGATAATAATTTTTCTTCAACTTTCATATTTTCGGGTGCTAATGGATAATCTGATTGTTCGTCCTGTTTTTCCTTTGGATACTCTAAATCAACATCTAAAATATAAGCAAAATCATCGTTCTCGTTCCAGTCCATTATCATCTTTTCATTTAAACGTTTCTTAATCCATTTCAGTTCCCCTATTGGTAGTTTCATTGACATTGCCAGTCCATAAAGGTTATTAGCATCTAAATAACTGATATAATTAGATGGTCTGTTTTCGTCCTATTCATCTTCCATATATTTATTGTTTGCTTTCGCTTCCTTATGACTGACTTGACACATACCACCTCTCAAACCCTTTTCAATCATTTCATACATAGTCTGGTCTGTCAATGGTTCTAATATGACACCTGCTTTTAACAACATAGCACCCCAAGCAAAGTTAGGAAGTGTAAAGTAATGTGCGGGGTCTAATCCATAGTATTCTAAACAAAGGTCTCTAAAATTTTCAAAGACATCAGTTAATAGTAAAACATCAGTTCTCAAATACAAGTCGTGATACTGTCCTAAATTTCTTATACCGAAATGTTCCCAAATTTTTAGTGCTCTTTCGTATTCATCAACTTCAATATTGCTTTCGGTAAGATTGCTGTAAAATTTCTCTTTCGGTGGTAGTTGCCTTTCTCTAAACTTATCAAATGAATTGAAGTAATCGTATGGATAAACACCTTTATCAGTGAGCAAATCTAAATCCTCATCATTACTCACATAAGGGCTTCTTTTACTATATTTGAAGTTGTTTTGCCAGTTTGGTTTCTTCTCTCCTTCCTCATACTTACGCAACTTGACTAACTTATCCAAAGATGACGATAAGAAACTGAAACTGTCCTTGAAGCAAAGGTTTTAAAAGCAAAGGTTATGAACTTTTCACTGTTAAGCGCTATTACATCTATTTTCGCTCTTTCACTCAATTCATTTGCTCTGAATGATTAAATGACTGTCATAATTTTTAAGGTTGTGAAGGAAGACCGGTATTTTATAATATCTCATTGAAAACTGTAAATTACAATCATCGTGAGCACATCCCCTATACTTACCTGTAAAATGGCAATGGTCTCTACATTTCTTATCACCTTCTTTAAAGTCCATTCCACATACAAAGCAATTCGTCGCTGTTTTAAAGTCTCTCCAATCATCCGCTCTCATTATTATGTCCTTGTTTTTTTATCTTATCCATTATCTTATCTTTTACTTCAATCATCTTCTTAACAAATACATCCATACAATCTTCGCCTCTGTATAAGAAGGGTTCGTTTGAACCATCAATGCTATTGGCAACATTAATCATAAAACCGCAGGGTCTGTGATGTTGGTATTTATCAGTCTTCATTTCTTTCGTTGAAACTGTCCCCGTTCTTGTTGTCAAACATTCAAAATCAGCATAAATAATAAACGGTGCTTTTAGTTTTTTATAGTGATTTTTGAATTTGATGAAGAACTTGTCGGGGTCATCGGGGTTAAAGGATGGCATTTCTATTCGTTGTCCTTCAACTGCCATACATCCTTTTTCACTGTGTTCGTCTAAAAATTAAACCCGTGATTACAATGAAAGCAATGATATTTTTTTTCATTGTGTTTGTTGGTCTGACTTCCTATAAGTTTATCATAATCTTTTATATAAACATAATGGTAGTCATCCCCGTCTTCAAGTTTCAAAAGGCTGATTTGATGAGTTGCTCTTTTAACCTTTGTTTTTCTATACAAAAGTATTGACTGTTTATCATCTTCAGGATTGAGAAAATAAACATTGACTGCTATTTTTCCATCATTGTTTTCTTCAAAAGTATCTATGTCAATGTTTGATGATGGAAAATTTACATTGGTCCAATTCAGTTTATTTATCATCTAAATTTTTGTAGTGAAACAGTCGTTCGGGATGGTCTTTCTCATACACTTTGCATATACCACATTGAACCGAATACTTGAAACATTTATTATCTTCGTTTTTGATGTTGATACACGCTTTTTTGTTTTGAACCCATTTAGGTAAAGGTATGAATTTACCTCCACGAGTTGGATTGTATTTATCAAAGTTAAATTTTATCTTATCCATCTGTGTTAGGACTAATCCACTCTCAGACATTTCTAATACTTCCGCTTGATGTTCAATGTCTGGTGCCATCTGGTTCAATACATTTGTTATTTCGTCTTCGTTAGTTATTTCATATCTTCTGCTCCTAACTTCTCTTCTCACAATTTCGTTAGTCTTCTTGCTCTTGAAGTTGCTGAAGGTTTGTAATAAAACCTTCATTCCCTTATGTTTTCGTAAGTATTCTCTTATCTTGAAGTCTTGATATTTTAGATATTGTATTGCCTTGACGCCTTTGACCCTGATGTCGCTGATGGCATAAGATGATGTATAATTCTTGAATGCTGACTGTTCGTCGGTGATGGTTGCTTTGTATCTTTTTTGTATTCCTGTTAAGGCTTTGTTCTTGTCTAAATTTATCCATCTAATGCCTCTCTTCTCTTTCAATTCGTATCTTTTGTAGTCCATAGTCTGTCTAATTTTGTTGAATTTGGTTTTCAATCTGTTCGTGATGGTTTGTTCCTTTCAAAGTTGTAGGTCTTCTCACCTATCTTCAGTTTCTTAAGTTCTTCTCCATTCCGTTTCAATATCTCGCCTGTTTCACTTGATAAAATGTAATCTAAAACAATCTGGTCTGAAGTGTTCATTATATTATGTTCTATATTATTATTAGTGTATGTTTCTTTAAGTAGTTTTTCAGTTGAATTTATCTGTTGAGGTTGTTGAGATTGATTGGAACCGTTAATATACATATAGCAGGGCATATTCAATTCTTAATTATATAAGGCGGTATGTCTTTAAGTATTTTTGGGTTTTATGTTGAATAATGGGGTGTCCTAACAAGTGTCCTCAAATGGTGTCAAAAGGGGTCAAAAAAAACAGTTCAGGACACTTGTTGAAATACTGTTCCTACTGGTGTCTCAAAGATTTCATGTCGTGAATGTCTCATAAATTCTATGCCAGATTGCGCGGAAAGTCTCATAGCATTTTATGTCAGTTGTGTGCCAACCACGTCGTTGATGGTCGAGGTCAGGATTGAAGCGAAGCACTTGTAGAAAATCCGCCACCATCAACTGGGAGATATGCTTTTTGGCAACTTCCACACCCCAGAGCGTGTCGCTCCCTCCCAGTTGATGGATTTTAAAATTTAAATATATATATATATATATGTTTGAAGCCCTTTCCCGTTCCCATATTTTGGTGAGACCGTTGCGATGCTGTCCCTTCTGACAAACAGGGGGGTGAATGAGTGGGGTAGGGGGATATACTATATTATATGTGTGGGATGTGTGTGCAGGGGAGAGTAGTCCGCCCCCTTCTCCTCCATCATGTCAATACCTCAGCGCAAGCGCTTCAACTGGTGGGTGGCATGAGGGAACGCAGAAACAAACAATGCGCGAAGATTGCAATTTCTGTGCTACAGCTTTGTTCATTTTGTTTTTTTGACAAAATCATCGCGTGCTCTGATGCTGATGCTCACACTTTTGCATCTCTCTGCTGTTCACTCTACACCCTGTACCTGTTCAAACTTACAGTGGCTACAGGCCGAACACAGTCTTCGCTGCCTCGGCTACACAATCGAATTGGAACTTGTACTTCGCACCTGTGGGGGTGAAGAGGTTGGGTCTCACGAAATTCGCCATGAAGTTCTGCACATCTTTGCAGTGCTGGCGAATGTCCCTGTAGTCGACTGCTCCAACAAGCGCTTTGCTGTAGAGAACCTTCGCAGCCCTGAGATTCCTCTACTTTCATCATCCACTCCTCCATCTCCTTCTTGCAAAATGCATCTTTGTCCTGTGCTATCTTGAACTGTTGAAGGCTCTCGAAGGTTCGCGGGATGTTCTTGAGCATCTCTTCCGTGTAGCCCTTGGCGTGGATGTGCTGGAGGTACTCCTTGGCTTTCTCGAGTGGCATTTCCTCTGCCATCAGCTTCGCAAGCCTTGGCTCATTCACACTCAGAAGCTCCAAAACCTCGCTGGATGCTATGACTGCCGAAGCCACCCTCGCGTCAGCACAAAGCCACTTCACATCCTTGACGAGCTGGTGGACGTGGATTCCGGTGGAAATTGGGACTGAGCTTGCCGTTCCCAACAGCACACTCTGCGCAGTCTTCACTGCTTGGTCTGCCTTTGGTGAGACCACTGCACTGGCGGGCAACACCACATCCACCCCCACCTGCACCGGCGAGCCTGTCTGCTCCCGCACCAACTTGAAGACTTCGATGACGATGTCCTCGCTGGTCTTGCTAGCGTCCCACCGGAGATGATGTGCCAAGAAGGGGGAGACAAAGGACTCTATTTTTCATCTGGCCATACATTGCGTCGTAGACGTTGCCACAAGCGAGCTTCAGGTAGAAGGGGTTGGGTTTCTCTCTCAGGAAGTGCGAGAGAGTGCTGGACTTCCTTGTGGATTTTAACGCAACGAGGCCGACCATTGAAGTTTTCTCCATCATGTACCTGTCAAACAGGCAAAACCGGTGGTCGTAGTCCGCAGGAGCCTCTGGTTGGAAGTATCCTCTGCGGATTTTGTGCGCCATCCGGTGGGTCTCAGTTGCATTCCGCGCATAGGAGGCGAAGACGCCGACAACGGGCGTCGCAACGCCCAGCGGTGCTGCATTAGCGCGAAGCCACGCCCGAGCTCTCGAAGCCATGAGGAATTTAGCGTTTTTGTCTGCACATGTTGAGCAACAGCCAGTGCTGCGAAATGCAATGAGCAACAGGTCATGTCATGCAATGTGATGCAATGCAACACAAGACAGCAGAAGTCTGGGACTGCAAGAACACCAGTGCTGACGAGGTGCAATGAGGATGTTGTTCACGAACTCCAAGGCTGTGATGATGTGCAAGAAGAGTTTGAAGGACATTCAGCTCTGCCAAAGTCATGAAACAGTGGAACTTCCGCTTAAACATATTATGAAGTAATCTTTGAGACCCAGAAACCCATTTAAAGATATAGTCCCAGAACACTTTAATGAACGAACATAAAGGTAGGAAATGTTCAAAATGTAAAAATACACAGCCGCTGGACAACTTTGACAATGGAAAGGCACTATGTCAAAAATATTCTGAATATAAACAACAATATAGAGAAAATCACCGAGAAGAATTAAGACAAAAACAGCGGGAACGTTATAAACAATACAAAGGACAGAAACTTGAGAAACAGAAAGAAACGGTTGCATGTCCTATTTGTAAGATTGACATTTCCAGAAACAAAATGTTAAGACACGAAAGAACCCAACGTCATAAAAACAACCTGAACAAACCTGACCCAGAACAAATAGAACAAAAAAAGAAAACGGATGAAGAACTGAAACGAATAAAACACCAAGAAACCATAGACTACCTTAACGCAACATTTCCCTCATATCCAGATGGTTAAATCACAACAACCTCAACAAATCCTAACCACATTCAAACAGAAAGCCCCAGAAAGGTTAGCGACAAAAAAAACCCAGAACACACAACACATAAAACATCAAAGGGAAGGAAGAAACATTGAACAAGAACATAAAAAACATAACAGGCAAAACACCCTCAACAAAACCTACCCTCATTGAATCCAAACATTATTACAACAACCTAAAATATTTATATATATATATAGCAATATAACCAAAAAGAAACAGTCAAACATTTCAGATTACAAGATTGAACAAAAACATAACAGCCTCCCACCTGACCTACAACCTGTCTTGTCCTAGCTTCCCCCTTCTACCATTTTTTCCCATATATCCATATATATCCCATTGATATATATATCCCATATGGGATATATATATATATATATCCCATATATATATCCCATATATATATATCCCATATATATATCCCATATATATATATATCCCATATATATATATATATCCCATATATATATATATATCCCCCAGTTTGAGTCATAGCCGCTTCATCTTCCCACAAGATCTGCGTCGTGGCAAAAACGTCGTCCATAATGCACTCTGGCTGACCTTCAATCAGCCGCCCCGGCGACTCATGCAGAACCTCACCCTGAGCAAAGTCACGTCCTGAATGGGCTGACAACGGGGTCATATATATATATATTATATATATATATTAAATATTAGTTATATTATATATATATATTAGTTATATATATAATATATATATATATAATATATATATATATATATATTAGTTACTGTATATATATAAGTTGTGTATATATATTAGCTATATATATATAGTAGCTATATATATATATTAGCTATATATATATATATATATTAGCTATATATATATGTATATATAAGCTCTATATATATATGTATATATTAGCTATATAAAATTATATGTATATACTAGCTATATATATATATATATGCTCTATATATAATTATGTATGTGTAATTGCATCCAATTTGATATGATATTCTGGTGTTGAAATTGGGTCTACCATCAAATGGCCGCTTTAATGGAGAACATGAGGTTCTTACACCATAAACATTGGGGGTACCCCTATTTTCATAGACCATCAACCAACCAAAAATAAGGTTTGAACCAACCAAAATGGTACCTACTCGGCAAAAAAACACGTTTCATCCGCAAGCTGCGTTTTGGGCGTTCGGTCGCGGGGGAAACGAGAAGTTCTTGTACACAATCACACACATGAAAGAAGCTCGCATTGCCCATGGAAACTAAGCCCCCAAAGGATGGATTTTCAAGTTTTCCACATCTGGGCTAGATTTCATATCTCATCGGTCATTTCTCTGCAAGTGTCCAATGGCTTCAATTAGTGAAGCTCTCGTTTAAGCAGATTCTGAGTATGTCCTCAGTTACCCTCTGGTAAACTAACATAGCTATTCAGCTATTGAACATGGCCATTTCTAGTTGATTTACCCATAAAAACGGTGATTTTCCATAGCAAACTGTTAATTTACCAAAGGGTACATA